GACATCGATAATGTTGAAATGCACTTCAATCCAAATTTATGAAATCCTTCCAAAATGCCAACTTTCCACAACAGGTGCCGAAACATTTCTAGACCATCCAAAATCCGATCCGGACATATGTCCGAGTCCAAAATCATCATACGAACCCATTTTGAGCTCACTCAGGCGGATGTTCCCGCTGATCTTGACTTTACAAATTGTCAGCTTCTGTCTTTCCATACGGAGTCTGGCCTGTTGGAACCTTCAAACCCCGATTCCGAGGTCGTTTACTCATAAGTCAAATGTTAGTCAATTTTTTCAACTTTAAGCTTCCGAAATTTGAATTTTTTTTCCAAATCAACTTTGAACTTCCCGAAATTCAATTCCGACCATAGACACAAGTCATAATACCTGAAGTGAAGCTACTCATGGCCCCAAACCGCTGAACGATGTGCTAGAGCTTAAAACGACCGGTCAAGTTGTTACATTCCTCCACCAATAAATTGTAATTCTAGAATATTTGTTAGTTATCCATAGTAATCGATGTACTTATTCTCTTCATATGTCTCTCCAACTACAACTACCCCGCAGTTCTGAGTTCTCAAACCTTTATCAAAATCTTGCACGTGAAACCTTTAACATGATTCTTAAAACTAAGGGACTCTAATAATGGAGTCTAACTCATGATGTAGTATTTAAAGTAGCACAAATAAGATCAAACCAAACTCCAATTAGCAGAATTATTAGTATAGAAAGGAACTGAGAATGCTAAACCTAAAAAATAGTTTTTGTTTGCCTCCAATTAATACAATCAGAGAGGAAGTTCGAGAATTCTTATATCACCAGAAATTTTTTATAATACAATCATAACTAGATATGAGAAGCATATTGTCCCGATAAAATTAAGATTTCCTTCAAAATCAAATTAATTCAAAAATAATCTGCTCTACAAGAGAATGCACATAGTTGACATATATCGAGCAATATTCAATAAAAAAAATTAACTCCTACACATTCATCAGCAATGTTTTTAAAATCTAAATGCAATTATAATTGTAGAACATGTAATTATAAGAAGAACCAATACCTAAAAACGGAGAGATAATTGGAATATAAAAAAGCACCTAATTTCACAATAGTACTGCAAGTTTAGAGCTTACCTTGGGAAGAAGAAGACTGAAACCCTAGGTTGTAGAGAGGAACACAAGGTCTGATGCTTTGCAGAGTTCAACTATCCAATTTCACGTATACCCTAGCTGTAAGTGATCCTATGATAAAATAGAAAGAAAAGTGGGTTAGGAAAATCATGGGTTGGCCAAAAAAAGAGGGAAAAGTGACGTGGGTGGGCTGATTGTGAGTTGGGCAAAAAATCCGGAATTATTTTTAACGACTGGATTTATTACTTTTAAGGGCCGAAAATTATCTCTTTGTTAATATTAAACAAAAAATTAACTTTAACGACCAGAAAAAATGTGATCGCTATTGATACACCTATAACAACCAAATCCATGCCCCTTCATTAAAAAATGGTCGTTAAAAGTCAAATTTCTTGTAGTGTTCCTTGAATTAGACCCCAAGTACTTGAAACTATCTCTCTTGGGATGAGTTGTGTGTCAAGCCTCATTTTCATGTCCACTTCATTGGTCTTGTCAATAAACTTGCACTCCAAATAATTTATCTTGGTCCTACTCAACTTGAAACCTTTAGACTCTAGGGTCTGTCTCTAAGCCTCCATCACATTGACACTGCTTTGTGTCTCGTCAATCAGTACAATATCATCCGTAAATAACATACACCATGACACTTTCCCTTGATCGTGATGCGTCAGTGTATCTAATGCCAAGAGAAATTAAAATGGGCTAAGAGCTGACCCCAGGTGCAACTCCATCACAACTAGAGAGTGGTCTGATTTTCCTTCCAGTGTCCTCGCCTGAGTTTTAGCTCCATCATATATGTTCTTAATCACCCTAGTATAAGCCACAGGAACACCTCTAGCCTCCAAACATCTCCATATAACATCTATTGGGACTTTGTTATATGCTTTCTCTAGATCAATGAATACCATATGCAAGTCCCTCTTCCTCTCCTATATTGCTCCACCAACCTCCTTACAAGATGAATGACTTCCGTAGTCGAACGATCCGGCAAAAGCTCAAACTGATTTTCAGAAATAGACACGCTCCTCTCCACTCTCGCTTCACCACCCTCTCCTAAACTGTCATAGTGTGGGTCGTCAGCTTGATACTTTTATAGTTATTGTAATTTTGGATATCACCCTTGTTCTTGTACAATAGAATCATTGTACTCCACCTCCACTCTTTGGACATCTTCTTTGTCCTAAAAATGATATTAGACACCTAGTGAGTTATTCCAAGCCTACCCTACCCGCGCTCTTCCAAAATTTCATCGGCATGCTCATCTTTCGCATAGCCCCCTCGACTTTCTCAATTTTACTATGCCTATAATATTCTAAATCACGACGACTCTCGGAGTGCTTCAAATCGCCCAACACAATGTTCTTGTCTCCCTCTTAATTTAGGAGTTAATGAAAGTATGACCCCCATCTATGTCAAATATGTTTCTCGTCCATCAATATTCTGCTATCCTTATCTTTGATGAAATTCACCTAGTCCAGGTCACGAGCCTCTCACCTTGGTTAGCCTGTATAGTTTTTGTCCTGCCTTTGTTCCTAAGTTCCTCATATAAGCGTTCAAACGCTGCAGCCTTAGCCACCATAATCGCTAATTTTGCCTCTTTCTTAGTCTTTTTGTACTGCTCCCTATTCGTTCTCTTCTCCTCCTCATCCTTGCACTCCACCAGCTACATATATTCTACTTTCTTGGCTTCTACTTTTTTTGGATCTCTTTATTCTACCATGAGTCCCCGTTGCGCCCACTAGTGTAACTCTTCGAGACCCCTAGCATGTCTCTAGTAGCCTTCCTGATGCAATTCACTATCGAAGTCCACATATAACCCACGTCCCCTTACTCCACTAAGCCTCTATAGCCACCAACCTCTCCCCTAACTCTCAAGATTTATACTTAGTCAAGCCTCCCCACTTGATCTTAGGTTGACCATACACAACCCTCTTCTTCCTCTTCCTCATGATCTCCAAGTCCATCACTAAGAGCCTATGCTGGGTCGATAGATTCTCACTCGGGATAATCTTGTAATCCGTGCAAAAACCTCTATTGCATTTCCGAAGGAGTAGGTAATCAATCTCGGTCTTGGCCACTGCACTCTAGAAGGTGACCAAGTGCTCCTCCTTCTTCTTAAAATTCGAGTTAGCTATCACCAAATCAAAAGTTTTAGTAAAATTCAATAGCGAAGTTCCACCTCCGTTTTTATTCCCAAAACTAAAGACACCATGCATATCATCGTAACCCTAAGAAATCGTCCTGATGTGGCCATTGATATCCTCTTCAATCAAAATCCTCTCGGTAAACGGAATACCACACACTACCTCATCCAAATCATCCCAGAAACGCATTTTAACCTCCTTGCCCAAGCTCACCTAAGGTGGTAGGAACTAATAACATTTGTTGTAAGCCCTCCAACAATTATCTTAATAGCAATCAGCTTGTCTTTCACCCTCCTAACCTCTACCACTAGCTCCTTGAGTTTCTTATTTACCAAAATATCCACCCCGTTGTTACATCTCATACTTCCTGAGTACCATAGTTTATACACGTCTAAATCTCGTGCCTTAAACCCCTTCCATCTAGTCTACTGGAAACAAGCTCCGCTAATCCTCCTCTTCTGCAGGATCTTTTATAAACTCTATAGACTTCTCCGTCAAAGTCCCTATGTTCTAAGACCCAAATCTCAACCTCAGGTTCCCTTACCCCCTTGTCCCCCTGCTCGACCTGAGGACACGACCTTACTCCATCATCATTCACCCCAACCACTATAGTCTAAGGGATACAAATCTAGTATGATCACTGATACAAAAAAATAACAATAATAAGGAGCAGAGTATAACAACCGGGAATATTAAAATACATAAACAATAGTAAGGAGTAGAGTATGTATACATCACATCAAATAAATTTGAGCAGCACATAACAATATAGCAAAACTCAACAGGATATTAAGGAACACCAAATACTAGTAACGGCAAAACAGGTATAAGGAACACAAGACAATATTGAGGATCACAAAACAATATAGCAAAATAGCAAAACAAAACAAAATAGGGAGAGAATATCGCAACTATGAATATCAAGAAACACAAAACAATAGCAAGTGGCCGAACAAATATAGGGAATAGAAAACGATATTAATGAGCAGAAAACAAATAGTAACACAAAACAGGAAAATAGAACCTGGTTTTACAGTCGCCGAAATAGGGGAGCTTTACCGAAAAGCTGACTGGAGGTACTGGGACGCACCGGACTGGCAGAACTTGACTGGGAATCTAGCAATAGTGGTATTCATGCGCCGCCGCATGCCTGGATCTTGCCAAAAATTGTCGGCCCTGTTCATTGTATACAAATCCCACACACACCAAGAGATGTAGAAAGAGGGATAAAAAGACAGAGAGAGGGAGAGGGAGGGGAGAGAGACGATGGTGGTGTGATTATCGCTAGTGCAGGCACAGTAGCAGCGGGGGGAGCAGTGGGCAGAAAGAAGAAAGGCATGAAAAAGAAGAGAGAGAAAAGGAGAGGGAGATAGGAAAGAGTGAAGAGAGAGGGGACTGAGAGGAGAGGAGGGAAGAACCTACCTGTGGCGGGATGGTGGTCGCCGACACTTGATTGGTCGCCGACTGTGAAAGGTCTGTTAGGATCGAAGAGAGAGAAAGGGTGAGTCTGAGCGAGAGAAAAATGTGGTAAGAGAAGTTTGATTTCTAAAGTTGTATTGAAGAGAATGAACTATTTCATATCCGAGTATACTTTGTAAAATTTTGTACAATGAGGTATAAATTTAATGGTAATCTTAAAAGTGGGTACATATGAGTAGATGTGTTAATACGTTTAATACTAGTTTCATTATTATGTGCTACTTCATATAAATTGAGCTTAAGGGAGAACGAAAATTGTCCACTTATTACCAATTACTATCACCGTACCGGGCCGGGCTCAAAAGTGAACAAGGACCGGGGCTCTCAACCGTGCGCGCAATTATTCTTCTCCTGAGATTTGATCACTGCCATTTTCAACTCTTTAAGCTCCATTTCCATCATTCACTCATAAGCCATGGCGGAAGCCGACGAACAACCACCGCCATCGACGCCGTCCACGGCGTCGTCAACGGCCCCAATTTACATACATCCACGAAGAGAGCCATTCCAACACGGCCTTCTCCCAATCTCTAAACTCATCTTCACCGACGGCACTCAAACTCTTCTTCCAATTCGAGATAAGCTATTATCCCTAACCTCCGGCTCGGCTTACCGAGCCAATTTCGAAGCAATTGCCGAAGCACTTCAGATCTCGCATGAGCATGCTCGCCTTGTACTTGAGACAATTGCCTCCGTTCTCCACTCCGACTCTGATCCAATCGTCACCGCTAAGCCATCGGAGATCGGCTCCGTTGGCGTCAACGTGTTCGATTTGGTGCTGTTTTTGCACATTCAAAGTTATAAAAGGCTGCTTCCTAAAGGACATAAGGATTCCGCTGCAGTAGCTGATGTTTGGCCTTCTACATCCGCCTTCGACGGCTTCTTATCGGCTCTTTCGCCGTTGCAGGTCAGCAGCTTGTGTTTTCTAAATTCCATTCCGTTGTGTATATTCAAATTGGAATTTAGACATTTTTTGGACAATGATTGTGTAATGTGAAGTACTGTAGTGGTTAGTCTTTTAGAGATTTATAATATGCAGAACTTCTAATACTTTCTATTTGTAATTTGGATATAGTATTCACGTGAGATGAATTTAAATGGAGTAACGTGATCAGTGAGGATTCATATAGTCAATCCCAACTTGTTTTGGACTGAGGCAAAATGTGCTAACCAAAAACTTTGCTTAAAAATTGCAGCTCGTACGCAGCAATAGTCGGCGGTTTATGCCATCACAAGCTGATGAAGAGGCTCATCAATTATCCTATTTACAGAAACACTTGGGGAACATTCTTTCACTTTTGGCAGAGTCAGTGGAAGGGGATGGTGAAGAATCACTGGTTTGTGAAGTTTATACCTTTGAGTTATTAACTTATCATACCATTTTTGTCATTTTATATGCTTAGGATAGTTGCCTATCAGATTTGACTGAATCTGATTCATGTTAACTCGACAAGGCATGCTACTTAGTTTTTATTCATTTTGCAAATAAAATTTTATTCATTCAAAACGTACTAAGAATAGTGCACAAAAACTGAAACGTCCAATGTAGGAGCACTTGTTCCTTGATGATGCCTATGACAAATCCTTGCTGCTCCATTCACCTCTATTGGCATCCATTTTGTGCCCTTGTTTGTTTTCATACAGTATGGGCTTAAAGGCATGCGGCAAAGCTAATCTAGTTACTTGACTCCATAGGTTTTGTCTATGGAGAAATTGGAGCATCTGGGCTTCCTAATCTATTTTGGTGAAAAGGGATATGAGAGAATCCCATTGAGTCAGAATGCCCCATTTTTTGCCAATTCAGATCCAGAGATGCCTGCTGTTCCTGTTCCGGCAGCTCAAGTACACGACTGGCTTCTAGAAAATATAGCATCTGCTTTGGAACGAATTACTGAGAGGGCTTCTGCAAAGGAAAATGGACCAAGCACTGCCTCTGATCAGGATGTACCAATGGCTGATGTCGCTGCAAGTTCAGTGAAGAGTTCGTCAACTTCTAGAGGACCAAGTTTCATTGAAGGAATTTCCAAATCATCATATGTAAGGCTGCCAAATGATATTAAAGGCTCCTCTGTAAAGGTAAGTTTCAACTTTATTTTGTGTGTTATTCTTTTTCTGGAAAAGAGTTGAATGATTCATAGGAAAGTATGGAGCTCTTGTAAATAGGCTATTTTCTTGTTGTGTGTGCTAAGGTTTCTTAGTGTTCTACATGATCTGTGACATCGAGGGGAAGGGGTCTGCAGGAATGGGCTTATGCTGAATGTGCTCCTTTAGGTCATTTTCTCTAGTCTATTAATTGTGCCAAAATAAACTTGTTCACAGTTTGGTAGAGTCGGAACAGTGTCCTCCCAAGAAAGACACAGAATACTGTTGCGCGCATTGTGAAGTTATTGACAACTAGTAACTCATTAATATGGTGCAATCTTCTCTCGTTTAAAGGCCAGAATAGAACATTTTAAATCAACTCCTGTGAGTGTGGGCGAATATCACTATATAATTGGTCAAACTGACTTCTAAACTCAACTTAGGTTCTTTACGATAGAGCGGAGGAGCTTTTATGGTCATGATTGTAGAATTACAGGAAGGATTTAATTCTTTAAGTTTATGAATGTAGAATGGACTGTCGTTACATGTAAGACTCTTGATATATGAATATACTAATATGATTTAGAGGCTTATAACATTATTAAGTCTGTTCCAGCTCACATAAATCATAGAGTTACTATATTAAAGATGGATATGCCATATAAGTCAAGATGATTAAACTTTTTTGATTAATTAAAGCGTAATTTCATTAATAATGGGAGTCAAGATGGTAAGACTTTAAAGTTATTTCTTTGACAAGTGGTAAGAATTTAAAGTTATCAGCAAGGAGAAATTATCACATTGCATCATCTTTTGTGGAACTTTGTGTTTTGCAGAACTCATTGGAGAGGATAATTCTTATGAACTTATTTGGTTTTATTACTACCTCTGGTTTGTGTGTGTTTAGTCTCTAACTTATCATTACTAGGTTCAGCAAGTCTCTTGAATACCGCCGTTCTTTTATTTCCTTATTGGCAAGTTTAAAGCAGAATCACACTTGTGCCGAAGGAGATTCAAGGATTCTAGAATTTTGTCCATCACGGGTATAGGGCGAGTTCTCAAGAGTGTTTAAGACTAGCATTGAACTGCATTACAGAAGAATATGGAAAATGAAAGGAAGCACTTTGGGATAAGTGGTCTGCATAAGGTTCTCTCTAGTATCTAATTGAAGGCTAATCTTGTCTGTTGATCAGTTTGTGTGCACCTTTTCGGTTGCCCATTTCTAGATACCCAACCGATGTGGGACACAACAGTAGCATGCTGAGAAGTTTATCTTTGAATAATTTAATAGTCTCAAATTCCAAAAGCTTGTCAAGCCCTTTAAATTGGTTGCAAAATCTTTTGGATTAAGCATGGAATGATTTTGCATTATTAGCATTTTTAGCTTTTCTTGTGGTTTAAATGATATGATTTCTTCTTATTGTCATATCATGTTTTACCTTGTATCCCAACAAATTCTTGGCCGGACAGATCTAAATTTTGGGGTAATGAACTTTCTACTTGATTCTTGATATTGAATCCTTTTTCTCTTTTGGCAGGTTGTCAATTGCCATGAATCAGTCATTTATATTTTAGCTCCTTTGAAATATGCGACGGTATATGGATGCTCTGATGCAACTATTGTCCTAGGAGCTGTGGGCAAGGTAGGTACTAACCTTTAGGAAGATGTTGCTTGTTTCTTCTTGAGGGTCGTTAGTAGTGAAATTGTAGAAATTCTAGTAGGAGGTAAATTTAGTTCTACATTACCTTGTAACTTTTCGTAAATGTCTCATGTATATATGAATTAAATGTGTTCTTATTTGTGTGCTTCTGAAAATCAGCCTGCACTGTACTGTAATACAGGGTTTTGCTGTTTAGCAATGCCAAGGCACGATCTACTTAAGGGTACTTATTGGGCCAAGTGCCATCTTCTACAAAGAATATATTCCAGCATTTGCACCAGTATTTATCACATGCGCTTGGTGACAAAGATATGCATTTTTTTTTCTGACAAGTGACAAAGATATGCAGGCTTCTAATTTTGTGTACATATTTTGTACTGAATTTGAAAATCCAAGTAATTAGTAGATGGAGAAACAATATCATTCGTAGTTTCTCCTACCGTTGAAGTTTGAGCTTATCAGAGAGTTGAGCTTATTCTTATCTGAGATTTGGTTTTATTTAATTTTGATCCAGTTGGAGCTGTATGGTTTGAAAAAACTTCATTTAGGCTGTGCTGGCATCAGCTACCAGTTACGAATGCATTTTGAACTTTGTGATTCTGGATGGTGTTTAGGCATTTCTTCATATTACTTGGCACCCTAAAAACAACTGAGTATAAAAATAAAATAAAAAAAGACACGGTCTCGAATGGACCTGTAGGAGTACATAGGATTCATATAGCCGAGTACAATTTATCTAAGGTTGTGGCATAGATGTTGGAATGATTGATATTGATATTCTTCTGCAGTTATGGCTCAAATGCTGTACACAAAAATGTCACCAATATTTGCATGCAATTCAAAGATGAAAAAGGAAGAAATTTATGCTTTATGAAACTGATGTTTGCTGCTTTCTACTGCCAGTAAAAAAGCTTTCCATGATTTCAAAAGCTAATGACAAAAAGTAGAGAGCTAGGTTTCCCTAGTTTCTTGTGTTAATTGATCCATTTTGCAAATGGTTTACAATTGTGTATTTGATGCTCTAAACTAATTATTGGATTTGACATTTAATAGTATAATGTCTGTTGCAGGCTGTCAGAATTGAGCACTGTGAACGTGTACACGTGATTGCAGCAGCAAAACGTATTTGTATTGCCAACTGTCGTGAATGCATATTCTTCTTGGGAGTAAACCAGACACCGCTTCTTGTTGGTGATAACCATAAATTGCAGGTCTGTGTTACTTTTGTGCTGCTGCTCAAAGGTTCAGCCTACTCCTTGGGTCTCCAAAATCCTTATTTTATTCATACATGTATGGTTTTCCATGATCACTCTGCATCAAATAGTCATTGCAAACTCCTATGGATTTAGAAGTGAAATTATTCAGTCAGCTTTGAGTCTTTTCTTTATTTTTTATCGATCTTATGCTGCCACAAGTGGAATGCAATTAAACCAGCAGTTCTAAGTATTGATGCAGTTTTTTCCGTTGGTCTAAATGCAAGAGAATTGATTATATTATTGCAAATATAGGACATCTTAGTGGAATATTTTTAATGAACCATATATTACTTTGTTGAGTCATTTGAGTTTATTATTTAAGTGTGGGAAGCATGAAAACCTTGCGTAGGATTATCTCTAGCACATGTCAAATGCATGTCTGTGGAAGATTCTCAATGAACCATTTATCATTTTGTTAAGTAATCCGAGTTTGTTATCTAAGCGCGAAGCATGAAAACCATGGAAGGGAATGCCTATATCACAAAATACATGTTGGAGTGGCCTAGATGGATGGATCATGGATGTTATGTAGGCAAATATAGTTATTTTTTCAAATCCCTTCTCTGAATGCATGCGATGAATTTAAGGGTGTAGTAAGTGTACAGGATGGAGAATTTCAGTGCAATTGAGAAGTTTGAAATACTAAACTACTCCCTCCGTTCCAGTTTATGTGAACCTATTTCCTTTTTGGTCCGTTCCAAAAAGAATGACCCCTTTATAAATTTGGAAACAATTTAGCTTAAATTTTCAATTCTACACTTAATGAGAAGCTTTTAAGCCACACAAATACTCTGGACCCCTTTTTGACTTGTTTAGGACCACAAATTCAAAAAGTCTTATTTTTCTTAAACTCCGTGCCCAGTCAAACATTTCACATAAATTGGAACGGAGGGAGTAGTAAACTTTAGTCTGTGGCGAATTTCAATATAATGGTTGAGTGCTGGAGATGTAAAATTGAGTTTTAGGACTCTTGGTTTACTTTCTTTCTGTGATAAATGGGGATTGTTGGTGTAGTTTATCACTTAATTGACTGGCATATTGGATAAAAACTAAGCTGAGCTTTTTGCTGCGACTTCCAGTGGACTACATAATTTGTATCCATCATCTAATTATGTTGCAAAATACCTTGTGCGTCTTAGAGGTAGTGCATTCTCTTTTTAGTAGTGTCTATTTTGTCAAGATTGCTAGCCACTTGGTGGCCTTTGTTCTCTTCTAAGAATAGTTTGTCAATTATGACCTTAAATATTTTGCTAAGTTAACTAGGTCTTGGTAAACCATTCTTTTTTTGTAATGTAAGTGAATATAAGAATTGAGGGTATTCTTCATTTTATCATTATATGCATTCTATTTACAAGCATTTTCTCAATGCTATATGCTGATTGGACAGTATACTTCTTGCTGTATGACTTATTGTTCTGGGGAAAATTTTACTTCCCCATCCATTTCTTTTGATGATTTTGTCAGGTGGCTCCATACAATACTTTTTACTCGCTACTGGAGGAACACCTGAATCAAGTTGGTATTGACCCAACCATCAACAGATGGGATGCACCTGTAGCTCTTGGTGTCGTTGATCCACATGATTCACTGTCACATCCTGCTGGTGTATCTGATGTTCAAACTGAGTCTGCTATCCCGGTAGACCTTGATCAGTTCACTAGCTTTTTGGTATGTCTATAAAAGTAGCGACAAGGACCTTCGAGTTTTATTTATCATATCACCGAGTACCATTCCTTTTTTAAATGTCTCCAATTCTGGTTAAATGTCTATTATTTGCTCATGGAATATTTGCTCAAAATCTGTTGGTAAAGTGATTTTTTTTCCTCACTGTTCTTTTAAAAACGCTAATATGCACGGCTCCAATTGTCACAGATTCCACACTGGTTTGAAGGGCAGCAATCCGGGTCCACGAAAGATAATCCATTCCCTTTACCGGATGCTTATTTGGCATCCCAGCAGAGAAATGTGCGTTAGAACACCAACTAACTTATTGTATCATTTTGCATCACATTTGTGCACACAATATGATTACTGATCCTCCGTTTATGTAGTATACTCCAATACATATTGTCATATTTTAATGTTTTAGTTGAATCATCAATTTTTTGGAAAATCATAATTCATACTTCTTGACCCTTTCAGCACAAAAACTTGGAGGAGAATAAGAGTATGTTGAAGGACACTGAGCTTGACGAGACGCGGAAACGAGAAGTAGCAACTGCTCTCCATGCGTGCTTTAAGGACTGGTTATATGGTAATGGTGGCAGTTTGTATATCATTTCTTGGTGTCCGTGTTTTAACTTTTTATCCTCACCCACTGTTCTGCCAATATTTGACAGCTTCAGGAAATATACGGCAACTATACTGTCTTCAAGGTGATTAGAATTCTGCACGATGTTTGAGCTGTGTAGCAAGGAAGGTAACCCTCCACTTCCATTGTAGATTTCAGTTTCATCCACTGCAAGTTCCTCCCTGCCATTTTTGTTGGTGCTGAAGGCAGCTGAGAGCTTGATGCTATTGCAATATCGTTCAGCTACTCAAGTCGCGCTTTTCAACTGTTGTGCATTTTATAACCAGAACGCGTCAGGACCATGTTACTTTTGCAGGAGACTGCTCACTGCACTGTCTCGTACTACTATGGAAGTCAATATGTTTAGGTTTCAATTCCCCCTTTTTTCTTTATTGGTTTTACTAGGTTCTGAACTTTAGCCAAAGGATTGATCTGTTATTTATTTGTTTGTTTGGGTTCCTGTATACAAATAAGAGATGCAGAAGACCATGCGGGGAAAATTAGAGAACAGTTTTCCTGTTCAACGAATGATGATGAGAAGCCAGCATTTTGTAAAACTGGTGATGTGTTTTGCCATGCAGCTAAAGTTAACGCAGTTCTGCACCGTCTGGTCATGTTGAAGCTTTGTTCTCAAAAGTCTTCCACTGCACTGTCCTCCCCAATCCCTCCCCAATATTGGATATGAAATTTTATCTGCTTGCTTTTCTTGGATTTACTTCAAAGTAGAAGAACCATCAACATAATTCCTTGCAAGCAGCAAGATCTATGTAGCTCTGGCAGATAGTCGAGATGTCAATATCACAGAATGATTTCTAAAATTGAGGTTCCTCAATTGACTCGAAGGAAATAAATTGATTTTTTAACTTGAGCTAATTGATCTACTAAAACCTAAGAATTAAATTACCAAACTAAAATTACTTATAGTAGTTGGGAGCAAATCCCTGTGACACATCTTTTGACCGCTGAAATTGTTTTATACACCCAACATATTCATAGTGTGTCTAATACACTCAACATCATTCTTCATCAGTTTACCAATAAGGCTACGACACGCGTTATTAACTTTTACCCCCCGATTTGAAAAATCCTCTACTTCTACGCCATCGTTGACACCACCAAGAAAAAGTCATACCCACCGCTTTCTAACCTTCACGTAGATTCAATTTTGCAATGATTCCTCCTAATAAACCCAAGATCGAGATTGGAAGAGACTAAATCCGTTTGGCCAAGCTGCCAAAAATTGCTTATTTTGAAAAGTACATTTTTTCACAAGTGCTTTTTCCAAAAGTAATTTTAAAAAAAAATATTTTATGGTTGGCCAATTTATTTAAGAAGTACTTTTTGCAACATTTGACAAACAAATTGTGTTTGGCCAATCTTTCTAAAAAGTGCTTTTGAGTGTCAAATTACCAAAAAGAATAGTACCAAGGTCTTATAATTATTTTAAAGAGAAAAATGGACTTAAATATTTATCGTAAGAGACTTTTATTATTTTTTATTTTATTAAATTAAAATATAAAACATAAAGTAAACATACATATTAAAGATTTAAATCAATATAACATATATAGTTATACCAAAGCATATAATGTTATCTAGTATAATTACTTATTGTCATTATTCAGTATGAATTAGAAGTCTTTTCCACAAATTACTATATATCACACAACGCATTCATATTAGTATAAGACTTGCCTTGCATTTCTAAAGGAATACCAGAAGGTCCATCTCCTTCCTCGATCTTTGCAGTAATGTCTTTATTAGCATAATAGTTGAACTCTTTATCGGTAGAAGAATGTCGTCGGCTGAAATTATGTATAACCATGGTAGTTGTAACAAGATGATTCGGAGTGTCAAACTTGAAAGATGACATTGAACGTAAAACAGAAATTAAATATTTAAAAATTATTGTTTTCGTAAAATAAAAAATAGTTAAGTATGTTTAAATTCAAATTCAAAAAGAGTAACTAATTATTAACAACACATAATGCATAATTTAATTTTTTTTTTAAATTTAAATACAAAAAAGAAACTAATTATTACCTAACCTAACTACTTTGTCCTAAATTACCAAGTGACCTATTGTGAGACTGTCACTTGGTTTAATGTGGAAGTTTTTTCTTCTTCTTTTAATAATACATAGATTATGTGATGCAATTATAAATTTATTACCTAATTGTAGGTAATTTTACTAATTAGATTTGATAATTATTTTAAGATTCGGAAATTAATAGTCTATAATAGGGGAAATTATAAATGATTATTTGTAGGAATATAATTGATAATCCAAAGAAGGATGTAGATAATTTTCTTTAGTGTGAAAAAAGAAGAAGATGATTTTGAAAGTTACAAGACATTACACAAAGAAAACAACCAAAAACAAGAAAAGTCAAAAAAGAATTTGAAAAGTTACAATATATTCATATATATATATGATATCTCTAGTTTTATAAGAATGGTAGAAACTAAAAAAAAAAAAAAGGCTTAAATTAGTAAGGGATAATTTGGAAAATATAAACTTATGGTGAGGATAGTTTTGTCTTGAATAAATTAATTTTGTGCTTCTGCTTCCTGGAAGAAGCTAGAATTTTCTGCTTCTTCCCAAAAGCAGAAAAACTGCTTCTGCTGCTGGCCAAAAGTACTTCTCTGTCTTGGCCAAACACCTTAAATTTTTTAAAAAGTACTTTTTTCTCCCAAAAAGTACTTTTGACCTCCCAAAAGCTTGGCCAAACAGGCTCTAAGGGCTTATTTAACCAAGTTCTAGAAGGCCAAAAGTACTTTTCTTTTGTTATAAAAAGGACTTTGTTAGAAATTTGATGTGTTTGGCTAAGATGGAGAAGTGCTTGTGAGCAGCAGAAGTAGTTTTTTTGCTTTTAAGAAGAAGCTATAAATTTTTGCTTCTTATAAAAAGCAGAAGCAAAAGCAGAAAATTAATTTTTCTTGAGACAAAGTATCCTTACTATAAATTTATATTTTTCAAATTATCCTTCAATAATTTTATTTTTCCCTTTTCATTTTTGTTTCTACTATCCCTTTCTTTTTATTTATTTTATTTCTATTGTATTTTTATGCTCCTTCTCCTATTCTTCTTTGAAATAGTCCCTTCGCCATAAATAGATCTCTTTTTTATATAGATTAATGAAGTAGATTCTAAATTTATACTGAATGACTATATTTTGATATATTTAAATTATCAATGTAAACAATAAGTAATACCGGATACCTATTATTATTGCTTTGGATAACTATTATATTGATTAAAATCTTTAATATATATTTTTACTTTATATTTTATATTCTAATTAAATAAAAGAAAAAATAATTAATTTTATTATAATAAATATTTAAATTCATTTATCTCTTTTAAATAAGATACTACTTGTAAATTAAACATGTATTGTCTTTTTTCGTAATTTGATACTCAAAAGTACTTTTTAAATAGATTGTCCAAACACAATTTGCTTGTTAAAGTATTTCTCAAATGAACTGGCCAAACACAAACTATAATTTTTCAAAAGTACTTTCTTAAAACGCACTTCTCAAAATAAGTAGTTTTTGACAACTTAGCTAAACAGGCTCTAAAACTGAAATTGCAACTTCTTCGTTCTTCATTTTCCCCGTCCATTGTCAGATCTCATACCATGAAGGAAAAATTTATTTTATTGAACAAAGATCTCTACAATACTTCGGACTTCTCCAAACATAAAATAAGCTACCAATACCCTATTTAAAATAATAAGAAACCTATTTCAACTAGAAACATAAAAACTATTTCTATATAATTCTGACAACAAATCCTATTTAGATATCAATTAAATACTGGCAAATACCAATCCTAAACAATTTTGTTTTCCTATTACGACTTTGAATTATCTTTCCAACATTCTCCCGTAATTCAAAGTTGTATATGTTTGACTTTTTTTGTTACTATTATGTCGGAGCACTTCTCTCTAACATTCACGTTTGTTGAAGCACTTGTCTCCAACTCCCGTTGATGCACTTTGTCACCAATAACAAATTTTGTTGAAGCACTTGTCTCCAACTCCGTTGATGCACGTGACACTCTCGTTGATGCACTTTGTCACCAATAACCAATTTTGTTGAAGCACTTGTCTTCAACTCCCGCTAATGCACTTTGTCACCAACAACCAATTTTGTTGAAGCACGTGGCTTCAACGCCCGCTGATGCACTTTGTTACCGACATCCAAATTTTTGTTGAACCACTTGTCTCCAACACCCGTTGATGCACTTTGTCACCAACACCCAATTTTGTTTCAACTACCGTTGATGCACTTTGTCAACAACATCCAATTGCTGATGCACATGTCACCAGTTCTCAAATTATTATTAGTTTTTAACCGCTACTCTCTAATTTTTTGGAGAAGAGTTTCTTCCTCTCGTGCCATATTGGCTAGCACCTCTTTTATGTTGAAATATGTTTTATCCTTCTATTTTTTTTGCATGCATATATTATTGGCTCGACGTTTACCAACATATTCATTGGCCAAACGGGCGGCAAATATTGGCTAGTACCATCCGTCGGCAACGGAAGCTAATTCATTCTCACCGAAGATCATAGAAGCTTTGATACCAATATTAAAAAAAAAATATATTTTATGATAGATTCTCTGAAAACTCTCTACAATTCTCACAAATCTCCACACATAAAATAAGCTACCAATACCCCTATTTATAACATTACTGTCATACCTCCTTTTTACACACACCTAACACGAAGGATAATGTATAAGGGAGTTTTTCCATTTAAAGTGACATTATTCGAATGGGATTATTTATTTATTTTTAGAGTCGCCACTTGGGAAAGGATTGGCTTTTGGTGTCCCAAGTCACCGGTCTTTAACTTAAATCCCAAATCGAGGAATATTGTCGATTTCCCAATTGGAGTCTGCGAACCAGAGATTCTGAATAAGGAATTATGTTGAGCCGAGGGAAGGTGTTAGGCACCCCCGGATCCCGTGGTTCTAGCACGGCCGCTTAAATTATTATAAATGGCTAAAATCTGAATTTTTTTTACATGTTCCAACCTATAGTGCGATTTTAAGGTTATTTACCGCTTTTAGTTGAAAATTTTTTAAGAAAGTGAACGTCGTTTAAAAACGTATTTTCGGATCACGTCACATGAAATGCACCCGGATCCTCGACACATTCTTATTCAACGTTTTGGGATTTGAATTTGGGTTGCATGAAATGCACACCCGTATTTTAAGAAGGTAAACTTATTAAAAACGTGCCTAAAGCGACTAACGGGGAGGCTGCGAAATTCACTAAACGGCACGCCCGGATTCTAAGTGTTTTGATATAAGCATTTAATAAGGGCCCCGCAATTTGTGTGTTTTGTTTGGCGAGACTCATCTCACTTTATTATTTAAAGGCCAAACTAAAGTGACCTATGATTTTTCTATTTATTTTGTCACTAAAAGGGCCTAATTACTTTGCATTTACAAATTCGGGCTTCGAGTTCAAGTTCGAACTCAAACAAAAGGGAAGACCCTCTTAATTTGAACCCGCTAACTAACTCGAAAACCTAAATTTATATTGCAAACTAATCCCCATATTCCTAGTATGATTTTAAAAGACTTTGGCTTTTAGTATTTTTGGG